GTGCAAACCATGATCATTTTCACCTAAATAATTTCTAGTTTTTGAGGTAGAAGACGGGAAAGAGAATGATTTGCAGTTTTTAAAATATGTTAAGAATAGAGGAAGAACTGCAAATAGCAGCTTGCATTTTCATTAGTTCCAGCAAGTAATGTTTCGTTACATGCAAGTCACAGCATCTTTAGGTGTCTTGTCAGGCCTTCAAGGGCTTTACATTTAATGGCATTGTGCAGAATTGAAGGTTGGGAGAAAGATTATAGTGGGAACGACAGAAAAGCCAGAGTTCTTACCCTAAGCCTTGATATTTTTAGAAGTTAAAATACCTGGGAGAATGATGAAGAGACATGCTGAGATTGTATAAATAAGTGCAATGCCATTTAAGATGCAATTTAAAACTTAGAGTTAAGTTTTGTTGCTCCTCCAAAGAATTATAAATTACATATGATGGATTGTTATACTCTTCCTTTTTATATACCCAGTTTCTGGAACCTTGTTCCTTTCTCTTGCTCTGAGGAATCTTTGTAGGTGACTGGGGTGGACTTAACTGAAAATGAAACATGGGCAGGATTGTTCTTTTACTTCTTGTTTACTACGTGTTTTTAGAAATCTGATATTATTAACATCATTAGGTAGAAACATGCCATTATTTAATCTGTGGAATTTTGGTTGTATAATGACTCCCTCCATGCCTCCTTCTTTTTAATTGAGGCTACTTTTTTTTTTAAGAGTAGTTTTGAGTTTTCAGAAGAATTAAGTAGAAAGTACGGAGAATTCCCTATACCCCTCTACCTACCCACCACCAGTTTCTTCCGTTATTAACATCTTGCATTAGTGTGGTGCATTTGTTACAATTGTTGAGCTAATATGGATGCATTATTATTGACTAAAATTCATAATTTACATTAGGGCTCACTCTTGTACATTCCATGGGTTTCAACAAATATGCAATGACGTGTACCCGCCATTGCAGTAGTGTCACTGTCCTAAACATCCCTTGTTTATGAGGGATTTTACTGAACAATATGCATTCCTTGTGCTCCACCCGTTCATCTCTCACTTTCTCCCCCTGAAACTCTGGCAACCTGATCTTTTTACTATCACGCTTGTCTAGAATGTGATATAGTTGGATTCATATAGTGTACAGTCTTTCAAATTGGCTTTATTTTACTGAACAATATGCATTTACAGTTTCTCTATGTCTTTTCATGGCTTATTACTGAATAATATTTTGTTATATGGATGTACCATAGTTTGTTTATCCCTCCATCTATTGAAAGACATACTGATGGCTTCCAAGTTTTGGCAGTTATGAATAAAGCCGCTATAAACACTCTTATGTAGGTTTTTTGTGGTCATAAGTTTTCAACTCATTTGGCTAGATACCAAGGAATGTAATTGCTCTTCTTTTCAATAAAACTTTTACATCAGGTATTCATATCTTTTTTTTTTTTTTTAAGAGAGAGAGTCTTGCTATTTTTCCCAGGCTGGTCTTGAACTCCTGGCCTCAAGTGATCCTCCTGCCTTCACCTCCCAAAGTGCTGGGATTACAGGTGTAAGCCATTGCACTCGGACCCCAATTTCTTCCTCTTAATACCATTTCAGTTGCCGCCACATGAGTCACACAAAATGCCGGACACATGTCAACCACTCTCATTCTAAAAAACAAGAACATGTTCTCAATTCTTGTAGGAGCTCCCTAATTTGGCAGAGGTGGTCCGTGAAATAGCTTGTGTACCATCTCAGCCAGTGAATGTTAAGTGATAATCATCATTCTTGCCAAAACATACTACCTTGTCACTTCTGGTTTCTGCAGGCACATCCATGTGTGTAGCACAACTTTTGTTCTTCTGTTAGATGATGCCCTAGTCGATCTCTCCCAATCAGAGACACCATCTAACAAGAAGACAATAATGACTATGAAGTTCCTATCCTACATAAATGTGTGTGCTCTTGGGACAGTTACTCGGTTTTTCTGATCGTCAGTGTCCTCATTTGTGAAACAGGAGTGACAACGTCCACCTTGCAAGGTAGTGTTGAGGATTACCGACTACGTGAACAAAGCATCTGCTTCCCGTACACCTGGCACATAGGAAGCAATCTGTTGGTGATGTGGTGGTGGTGATGGTTCACAAGAGTTCTTGAGTACAAGACATATGTAACTCAGGAAAAATTGAGTGCTTTGTGTTTCAACAGGGAAACTTTATCTGAAAAACTAGAGTCATGACCAGCACACATAATTTGTGTTCCAATAGCCTCCCTTCTAGCCATTACTGTCCACTTACTCTTAAAAGCATTCAGAGATGTCCCCTTGCCACTATTGTCTAAGTGCTTTACTGACCTACCTGCAAGGTTTCCCCCCACACAGCTGAGTCCTCTCAGGACCCAAGGAACTAATAAGCATTTTGGGGGGGTCCACTCCTGTTCCACACCTTATCGTCAGCATGATTCTTCTCCTTTTCTGTGCCCATCTAAGGCTTCCTAATTAACCCACAAAACTTCACTGCATGCTTCAGTCCCCAGAGTTCATTGCCATTCCCCCTGTTTCTCGACACCTCCGGAATACTTGGCAACAGGCTATTCATGAGGTCATACTCATAAACTCTTCTTTGTTATTGCTGTGAATCAACCTCAGAAAACTTTTGAAGTTAAGGACCATGCCTTCTCTTTCTTGTACTTCATTCTGTGTATAGCTGCTTAATTAATCCATGAATTAGTTAATTTTGTCTTAATTTCAGAAACTAAATTTGGCAGCTCAAACCCACAAAGTTTTAATGCATTTCCTGTCATCTTTAAAACAAAGAGAATGTTCATTTGCCCAGGAAAGGTTCAGTCTTATCTAGAAGTAAGAATATGGACTTATTAAATATTTCTGGAAAACGTTTCTAATTGAGTGACTCTGACCTATGATTTTGCTCTCTTCAACACTGGCTGTCTGTCACAACATCTACTATACCTCTGTTGACACCATCATCTCCTGGGGGCTTATGCCCAACATGAATGACAACGTTAGCCCAGGTGACATGTAGTTAAGAAAGCAAAGTTTTCTACAACCAAAAGTAATAGGAGATTCTACATCCAAACAGAACAGAGTTGTGGGTTATTTCATATTTGTGTTTGTATCATTCTCTCCACTCTACTTCAGGAGTCCAGCTTGATGCTTGACTGTCCTCTAAGCCCCTTCTACTGTTGTCATCTGTGACACTGACAATGTGTTTTGCTGAAGGGGAAGCTTATTAACAAACTTAGAAACTTGAATAGTCAGTGCAGGTTATTTGTAGGACGCTCATTATGAGTCTTGAATCTGAGTGAGTCCAGAAAGCAATGGAATATTCCATATATCCACCTATGAGTTCTGTGCCCCTTCACCCCCCATCTCTGGGTCTATTTCTCTTATAAGGGGTCAGAGCTGCCTGGCAGAGGCTGGGTAAAATAGGAGAAATCCTGACTTTAGCTGTTTCAGAAAAGTGACTAGCATTTGAAGAATACTCAAAACATAATTAAGTATGAGCAGAAGGCTCAGCGTTGCTCTGTTCATAATGGGTGTTCACTTGTGTGATGATATTGACTATTGCTTTACCCGCATTTTGACTAGCACTTGGAACGCTACCTCGGGGCAACGTAAATGAAAATGTTTTCCAGAATGGAGTATACTGGCAGAAATTTCCATTATTCCTCAAGTCTGGTGTAAGTTGTTTGTCTCGGCTAGATAGTTCTGGGCCCTAGGTATACTCCAAAAGAAATAACCGCTGCTGCTCCAGGTAGAAAGTGGTGGAGGAGACAGCGAATGAATATATTGAGCTCTTATTTTTTGTCACTGAGATGTGAAAAAATAGCCCAAATTATCTGAGAAGGAATAGCATTCAGTTGTGCTGGGTTTCCAGTGCTTCCCAGCTTTTGCACGATTAGCAGATTTTTTCCAAACACACCTCTGTAATAACAATCCACTTCTTTCCCTGCACTCCTGGCCTCTTGTGATGTTTTATCGTGCTCATGCTGAAAGAAAGGGTGTCTGTGCATACTGTGTCTCTTCATTTGGCTTCAGGGATTTCCCTTTGATTTGGAAAGAATTATCTTTCAAATTCCGCTATAAAATATACAGGAGAGAGAAAAAAAGATTAAGCTCCAGGAGTGTGCACTGGTGTTGACATTGCCTTCAACTAATGAGCTGCCTACATGCATGATCAATTGCTATAAATCCAAATGATCAGTGGTGTTGTTTGCCGTTGATTTATACTGTGTGGTTTAATTTTGTCTCTATCCTTCCAGGTATTAAAACATAGCTAATATTCAACAAGGACCTCCTAGACCCCATTATCTCCTCCACAGTCCTCTGACTGCTCTCTCTCCTGTTCTGCCCGGAATATTTATGGTGAGTAGCGAGTTATCTCCCCTTTGGCAGCTGGCCCTGCTTTCCTGTAGGGAGGACTTGTCCACATTCACTTTAGCAAACAGAGGCTCACTCAAGTGTCACTAAAGGAGAGGAGGTGGGGCCAAAGGGCTTTAAAAGGGAAAGCGGAGTCAGTCATTCCACTTTTCAAAAGGAGAAACTGTGTTTGGGGAGGAATCGTATCTACATATTTCTTCTCTCAGTCTCATCCCAGGGTTGTGGCTGGAACTTTCCATCGGTTCTTTCCTTTCTTTTTCCTCTCTAAGCCTTTTCCTCGCTCTGCCTGTCACAGTGAAGTCAGCCACAGGCCCTAGAGCAGGGCTGGTAAACTCTGTGAAATTTGTCATAAGAGTGTCAGGTATTTTTAAAAAAAAAACGTAGATAAAGAAATCTTTCCTGCAGCGTCTCTTGCAGGCTGCATTCGGAAGCTCTCCCAGTCGGAGAGGGAGCTGGAGGGCCACAGCACAACAGCAGAGTTAAAAAAAAAAAAAAGATGCCCCAGGGCCAAGGGCCAGCCCAGGCGGCTGCGTTTAAGGTCAGACACACTCACGCTGCCCAGGCCATGCTTGAGCAAAATCGAGTTCTTTTCTGTTGAAATTTCAAACTCATCAAGACTATGCTGCTTTTATTTATTATTCTGTTGCCAGTAGTTTTTCAATTTTGTTTTGTTAGTCTCTTAGCACCACAGCCCTGGAGCTGTCCTGAAGGTATTCCTGCAGGAAATGGGAACTCTACTTGTGTGGGTAAGTAAACCGGTGGAAAGGAACCCACAGCTCTGGGAAACTGCCCTCAGATTCCTGTTCAGTCCATCGTGTACACTTGGGCACATTTTTCTGATTTGTCTTTGGGTATCTGTAACTGCTTACTGTTTGTTTTCTGATGCATGTCTATTTTCTTACTGGTCATTAGAGCTAATCTGCTACCAACTATAAAAATTCCTGGCTCTCAAGCTGTTCTTCCATGTGTGAGTGAATATGCCTTATTTTAAACTAGCCTAACATTTCTGTTTATGGAAGCCTCAGTTTTCATTCTGACACAAGGAGTAATTAACAGTTGATGAGCTTTATGTTGGAAAGTGGGGAAACAGATGGTTGTGTTTTGTTTGAAACTGTCTATTTAGCCATAAAGAAAAAAAATCCTTTCTTCGAATAACTTTGTATAATAATTCGGAAGTTGTTAAAAATCAGTGAAAAAATGAAAGGGAGTTGTGAACAAAAGTAATTGTAAGAATTAACCTGTTTCAAGTTCCGCCTCCTTCCTTTTCTCCCCACTCTCGCTGTTTCTGAGGTTCTGATGCAACTCCAGTTTTTTAGTAACAGGTGCATTATAACTTTGAGAACTGCCAAGAAACAGCAATGGGTAAATAAGCCACCCTGCCCTCTCACATTGAATGGGTTTTTAACCAAGGAAAAACAGGAATTTTACTGAATTCAAATTACACTCTTGCCTAAGAATCTCCCTTGAAAAACATGTTCTTTCTCATTGTTAATTCGCTTTTAAAATCCTTGAGTCTCCAGCCTGCTGCTCAGACAAGGCAGCCATTTCCATCCATGAGAGGGTCTGAGCTGCTCTGACATTCCAAAAAGAGACAGATAGAGGAAAACAGTAAAGTTTTTAAGAAGACAAACCTCCGGAAGACAATACACAATAGCTTGAATAAAAAAACTAGAGCTGAGCCAATCTGCCAAAGCTGGGCTGCTGTCCTGGCTCTCCCTCCTGTTAAGTTCCACATGAGGCAATCGGATGGTCTTGCTCAGAACTTCAGGACTCTGTCCCCAGGCAGCACTCATTGTCACAGGGGAGCAGAACCCTACAGAATTTGAAAGAGGGACTGAATTCTAAGATCTCTGTGTCCCCAGAAACCAGAACATTGCTGTTTCCATCGTGTGCACTCCGTAACTTCTTGCTGAATCAAGGAGGAATCTTTCCTTGACCTGCTAATCCCATAATCCTAGAGGATAGAAACAAAAATGAGGTGACGAATGACAAAGAAAGACCCTATGAATCGCTTACTCAGCTGCTGGAGACAGAAGTAAAAGCTTTTGGATACAGTTAAGTCAAATGGACTGGAGCCCCCTGGGGGAGCTGTTGGTAAATGGCTAGAGCTGGGCATTGCCATGGGGTGCAAGGGTTGACAGTAGAGGTTGGTCAGGCAGCCAGAGGCTAAGAGAGAAGAACTCAGGTTGGCAGCTGTGCGTGGTAGCTCACGCCTGTAATCCCAGCATTTTGGGAGGCTAGGTGGGAGGATTGCTTGAGTCCGGGAGTTTGAGACTAGCCTGGGCAACATAGCGAGACCTCATCTCTACAAAAAAAATAAGTTAAGTAAATAAATTAACTTGGGCCAGGCTCAGTGGCTCAGTCTGTAATCCCAGCACTTTGGGAGGCTGAGGTGAGTGGATTGCCTGAGCCCGTGGGTTCGAGATCAGCCCAGGCAACTTGGCGACACCTTGTTTGTACAATAAATAATTAAAAAAAAAAATTAGCCGGGCATGGTAGCATGTACCTGAAGTTCCAGCTACTCGGAAGGCTGAGGTGGAAGGGTCACCAGAGCCCAGCAGGTCGACCCTGGAGTGGCTATGAGTATGACACTGCACTCCAGCCTGGACTATGGGGTAGGACTCCCAATTAAAAAAAAAAAACAAACAGAAAACAAATTAAATTGGCTTAGTGGCATGCACCTGTAGTCTCAGCCACTCTGGAGGCTGAGGAAGAAGGATCACCTGAGCCCAGGAGGTTGAGGCTATGGTAAGCTTTGATGGTGCCACTGCATTCTAGCCTGGGCAACAGAGTGAGACACTAACTCAACAACAACAACAACAACAACAACAAAAAAGAAGAAGAAGAAAGAAGAAGGAGGAAGGGAGTGGGGAGGAGGAGAAGAACCACCCATGAAGCAAAACCCAAGAGAGGAGAGAAATTACAGAAATGAACTTTTATGGATAGCCTTAGGGTCTCAAAGAATAGTCTGATTCCTGCTAGCAAGCAAGCCTATGCCTTATGTTCCTTGTCACCCCTGCTGGTGGCTCTGAAGTGCCTTCACTGAGGCAGGGTGCACTAGACAAACATGAAGCCCAGGACAGAGACAATGAGATAGGGAGACTATGTTACAGGATGGAAGGAACGCAGGTTTTAGAGGCAAACAACCTCATTTCAGATCCATGCTACCTACTTAATAGTTGAGTTACCTTAGAATATCCTTGAGAAATAACACCCCCTTTTCCGATTGTTGTGGGGGTAACATGAAATAACATGTGAAATGCACCAACCATGGTGGTTAGCAGAGTGCTTGGTATGTGTCCTCTCGGACTCCAAGTCTTGGCTAAATCTCTTTATCAAGTCATGCCATGAGTTGCCTTTTTCGAACGGTGCAGTGGCATGGCACAGACACCATGAAGTGCAGAATGTCTAGATGCCACTTTGTGACACTCAGCCTCTTCGCTCCCTTGTTTCTTGCAAGTCACTGGTTTAAACCCCCTACTTTACACTCCCCATCTCGTGTTAGCTGATAACTGCCTGGGTCACCCCATGCATTTCAGAGGATAGTATTTCTTTCTCCTCTCTAAATAGATATAGTGCCATCATCTATTTTTCCCCTATTTAAATTTCTACTTGTATTGGCATTGATGCAAACTGCCTCTGTGGCCAAGCTAACCCAGCCAGAAGAATGCTTTGTGGTCTAACAAGATTCAGGTAAACTGATGCAAGGTTGTTACTCATGTTACTGCTAGCCAGATAAACCAAGGGATAGTAACACAGAAATAGGGTTTTTTTTTTCTCATTTCCACCCTTTTTGACTGAGTATGCTGCTAGCTTCTATTTGAGCTACAGTAGATGAGGAAAGAAGTCAAGAAAACGTCTGGCAAGTGGCTTCTGAACTTTCAAGTCTATTTACCTTGGAGGATAAATTTCAGTTGGAAAAGAAACTATTCCTGTTTGACGTCTGCACCTGCATTATTTACATAAACTTTCTTTGTTGATAAAAGGTAACAAAGAAGTACAGCCTCAGAGAGCTGGCTGCAGGGGGGATCTTGAGGGTGTCATTAAGCTAGCCAGGTGGGTAGATTAGTTTTAGCAGTAAACACTGAAATCAGTGATTTCAGCACCGGCTAAGGTTTGGTCAGCTTCCCAGTCATGTGCAAACCAGACTAATTCCAAGATCAGAATCTTGTTTGTTTCTTCAGCCTGAGTTATGAGAAAGTTTTTTATTTTTTAAATCTAACTGTAGAGAAATTACAGAAATGATCTTTTAGGTATACCACGTGAATAATACCATCCCCCAAACATCCAGTTGTTTTGGTCTTTGGTGGGTAGTAGAAGTTACTGGTAAACAGTATAAATTTTGAAGGCAGATTAACTGCTTGGGTTCAAATCCCAGTTATGGCCCTATGAACCGTGTGTTTCATTTTCTTTACTATAAAATAAAGATAATTATATGCTCCTCTTAGGATTGTGATCAGCATTGCATTAATGTCTTCATTTTTAATGCTGGCTGCACTTTAGAATCACCAATGTCCAGGTTACCACACAGGCAGTCTGGATCAAAATTTTTTCTAGGGGTGGAATCTAGGCCTCATTTTCTTTAATGCTTTCTTGGTGGTTCTAATTGGTAGCCTAGGTTGAGAACTACTAAGTTAAAACATGTAACAGGCACACAGAGCCTGGATATAACAAGCATTCAATAAACCTTAGCTTCTACTGATATTTGTATTCTTAAAATTATTTTTATGGGTGGTAATAGTTTTTTCTAAATGTGACTTGGTTTCTTTCATTGAACTTTTTTTAGGCATAGAAAAATGCCACATTGAAAACCCCTATGACAGTTTTACAACATTAAAAATTGTAGTCAAAGTCATTTCAAAATATATAACTCATTTTTTTGTAATCAGAAGAAATGTTTATTAAAAATTTAAAAAATCAACTTGATTTGAGTGAGTACTCTCGTGGAACTGTAGCCCTGGTGTTTGTCTTTCTCCTACACCAAATGATAAAAAAATTTCAGTCAGTACAAATGAAATCTACTGTTAGATTTCTTACCGGCAATACTTTTATTTTAACAATGCAAAAACAAGCCACTTGAAAGCTATAGTGATTATTTCCATTTTTTAGATATTTTCTCCCATGTTTGGACCGCTTTCTCTAAGATTTTCAAAGCTGCTAAAGGCATATAAAAGAGTGGTAAAGTAGTTCTTTAGATAAATTTACACTTCTAGTCTAGTTGGAGGCTGTCCAAATATTTGACACTCAGTTTAGAAGTTAGAGGGCAAGAACCATTTGCTTGTGTTCAAAGTAGAGCAACTAATTAATTGTTTCCATCAAAAATAAATGGACTAGTTATTTGATTGAAGTAAATTAAAAATTTTACATTATAATTTACAAATCTGCCTTTATGAAAATCCACTTGAAATAGTTTCTTGAGTACTATAATTGGTTGGTTTTTAAAAAAAATCAGTAGTCTTCAGACTCCATTCCATCTGTAAAATAATTAAAATGTGAACAAATGCTTCTAATAAATATTTTTTATTGATGAATTACATACATGTAAGATGCACACTGTGTATATAAACACATGTAGATATAAAATAAGCATTACAGAACACATGATATATCTAATATTTTCTTTACATGCGATAGCAAACCATCTTAGAGGTTGTTTTAGAAAAAATCAAATGGGACAGGCATGGTGGCTCACTCATGTAATCCTAGCACTTTAGGGAGGCCAAGAGGAGAGGATGGCCTGAGCCCA